TTCAGCAACCGACAAGATGTGATCCCGAATGTAGAAAAACAGTTTATAGTTAGTTCAGAAAGTTATATTAACCACCTTGACATTACTGTATTGAGTTGTTACTTTTAATGCACTGATAAAGCATTCATAACATTCGTAGTATGAATTCAAACAAATTTTAACTGAAAGTACTGTCTACTTTAAGTAGTGTGATCACTTCAATAAAATTAGTGTGAAGGGACGCCTAAGGGGACAAAACTATTTGAACGTCTCTGTAAATTTGAGAATATAAATGACTTTTGTGAAGTTTGGTTGGTTGGAGGATTACATCATGAGCTGACGTGAATAAGTGAGCCATTGGAAAGCCTGCAGGGTGTATTGGATAGCTGTTCCATCAGCTCACTCTGGGAGTTTTCAGCAGTGCGCACCCACCACCAGCGTTTGAACCCAGGACGTTCTGGTTACAAGGCGAGCTCGCTGGGACCCAATCCAATGGACAGTTCATGAATTCTAACTTCTACTAATTCATGACAGCGCGACCTTTGTGAAGTTGTTGGGATTTTATAATTTTGCCAATTGTTTCACATTCACAGGAGTCACTGATGATATTGATCACACATACGGTGAATCAAAACAAAAGGAATACTATTTAGGTTTTGCCATTGCTAAGTACTTAGCAATACTTTATATCAGGGCTGTTTGTTCATATAAAATTGTCTTATTCATCGATTACCATTAAGAATGTAGGAACAATAATTTCTGCCTTAAAGAAACAAACTTGTATCTTCATGTAATACCACTTTTTGTATTTTATGTGTGTACATATATTATATATTTCACTGGGTGATTATTACTATATAGCCTATTATCAGTGCTTTGATCTCATTCTTCAACTCCACTTCCTTTGGTCACGCATCTGTCTTAAGATTTTCGAGACAATTTTGTGGGGCGATCACAAGGGAATTATTTCGGCTTAAGATATATTGCACTACTTATTTTTATTTGATATATTACTGTGAATAACTGATATCTCTTTAATCTTTTTATTTTCGACAACACTTCAGTCACAAGTACTTCAAGTTATTAGCAATAATTTATCGACAGATAACCTTGACACATCTGTCAAGGTCATCCCTTATCTAGTCTTTTAGCGGATTTAAACAAGAAAAAGGTAAACAAGAGCAATGGGACTATAAAATAAGCTTTAAACAAGATTAGGTATTAAACATATACATACACACACACACTGTTTGTTTCATAACATTGAAATAATCGCGCGATCGTATAATCACGTGATGATAGCAAAATGCCATTATCATTTCAAATGAATGAAATATAAACTTACTAACTATCTACTAAGTCTGACCTTAAATGATTGTGGCGCGTAGGTGTATCACGCCATTATTAACAACATTGAAGTAATATTCATAAATAAAAATGTACAATGATATGAAAATACTTCAAATAGAAATCAATACACTCTATGTTATCCAAGTTACCATGTTGACATCATTGGCCTGTAAGACGTATATAACAGAAAGAGAAATGAAAAAAAAGATAACTAAACATTTAGAACAAAAACAAACATCGGTGTGTTTATTCATGCGTACGCGTCTATTTACTTTCTGTCAAAGTTCAGATTAACTTTAGTGTAATGACAAGTTAGTTAGAAAGGAAACATAAATGAGATTTCAGTCAAATTTATTAAACTTGATTTCACTGCATTAATTACTACTCACATGTTAGTAATGGAACTTATAAAACTTTAGCCATATAATAAAATATTTAACGCTATCGTTCATAATTTCTTAAAAATGTTGCAGTAAGTAGGAATGAAAAGTTTTCTGATTAATTGTATGGAGGATTTCATCATGAGATGACATTAGTTACAGAACCACTGAAAAACCTGGGAGTACTGGACAGCTGTTTCGTCCTTGTTTTGGACTCTTCATCAGTACGTACCCACCACCACGGTTCGAACCCAGGACCTTCTGATCACAAGGCAAGCTCGTAGACCATCGAGCCACTGGGACCCGATCCAATGGTTCTTGAATTCCAACTTCTGCCAATTCACTACACAGCGCGACCATTTCGCAATGTCTTCTTCGATGAGTTACTGCCTCATCTTCGACCTGCTGTATCCTATTGGTCATGGATTTCCACTAGAACCCCAGGTTAACTGTCTGAATAAGGCCAGTCATTAGTGAGCATCAGATTAATTTTCAATTCTGAGATTGAATTACTACTAGTCGCCCAATTTAAATATTTCAGTTGCCTGTTTACCATCAGTGTCTATATTTTATGTGTATTACATACACACAAGATAGTCATTACAAAACTTAAGGTCTAGTGAGGTCCATTCAGTTGGGAATGAGGATGGATTTCCCACCAATGGCACGAATTGAAAGAAGTTAGAATTCATGGACTATTGAGTTGGGTCCCAGTTTGCTGAATCATATATACAATCTTGCCTTGTAACCGGAAGGTTCTGGGTTCGAACTCCGGGGGTGGATGCGTACTGTCGATTAGTTCCAAACTAGGCTGACTGAACAGCTGTCTAGTACTCCATGGTTTTCAGTGAATCTCTAATTTATATTAATCCGTGGTCCAACTCGAAAAACTACCTAATGCTTACAAGTAAACTCCTGAAAGTTAAGATTGTAAAGACAAGACAATATGACTAATACATATTTGAACTGATCTCTTTGTGCGTCACACTACCCAACAAACTATTTTCATAAAAGTGTATACTACTGCTTGAAACGAGTAGTTGTATACTACTCACAACTCAACCAGTCAGTAGCGCTTTTTAGCCAGGTCAATGCGATCTAAACAAGGCTGATGAGACTGTTCCCAAACAAGTAAAACAACTGTCCAGTGTTCTGATAGCTTCAATCTGTCAAGCAAACACTACTAACTGGTTGAGTTGTGAGTAGTATACAACTAATCATCTCAAGCAATCAGTAGTATGTAGTTTTATGCATTTATGCCCGCCTAATTTGATTACCAATTATGGTATTCAGGAGATTATATATTGTGGTTTGGATAATTTCAGTTTTCAAAGGAAATAATCAGCATTTTAATTTTGTATTTCATGCAATACATAGGTACCCGTTTGTGACTAAACTTAAGGAGGACAAATTAAAATTAATTAGAATAAAAAAATGTATGATTCCTAAGTTAGATTAACATTTATTCTAATGTATCAGTCTGTTGAAATATATCTAGATGGTAATATAGGGTTACGTACATCTATATAAATCCAAACCAAGTTCACTTTTAACAGTTTGAAAAATTTGGGCATTGGGTATATGATATTCACCATAATAAAGGTTTTGTATTTCTCAATGAATGAAAAACAAAACGATACTGTTTTTACTGACGTTTCGCTATTTAACGCTAATAGCTTTATCAAAGTATTATTAAACCGGAGTTTACAAAATCTCAGTATATATATAACAAAGAGTTGAGAGGTGAGAAAATAGACTTAGGTCCAGTTTAAAGAGACATATTGAAAGTCAAAATAACACTGAAGATCACTAAACCAAACAACAAAGGTAATAGTACGTCTGTTATGATATCAAAATAAAGTTTACTAACTTGATCATCGTTCGTCTGTCTGGGGTCGTCTTTTGTTGTCAAGTTGGTCAATTGGTAAAGATAACAAAATCAAAGTATAATACTTTGATAAAGCTATTAGCATTAAATAGCGAAACGTCAGTAAAAACAATATCGTCTTGTTTTTCATTCATTGGGAAATACAAATAAACCTTTATCATAATGATTACGTACATCTAACTTATAATTTTTATTTGAACTGTGTTTCCTGTGAGATTATGAAAAAATAAAATCAAAACTTTATTTTTAAAGTAGATGGTCGTTTTTGTAGATGTGTTTTTTAAGTACTAGACATTTTGTAAACTGTGATATTTCCTTGTGTACATTGTTAAGAGATATGAGTAATTAGAAACAGGATGCAGATAATATGAAAAGAGGATAGGTGAAGTTTATCAACAGTGTATTCGAAACGACTGAATCTAGAGATGAAGCAAGAACAACAGTTTTTGCAGAATAAAATGGCATCATCATTTATTTCATTGGCTTCCCATCAACTGCTTACAGGCTAAAGTCATTATTAAATATATATCTTCAGAAACAATGTTAACATACTTGCACAGAGTTCATTTTTGTACAAAAATTAATCAATGAATATATGCATACAGTAATTATATATATATATTCTATGCTATCAAATTTCACACAATATTACGTAACGCCTTTATTTCATTCGATTTGTCTACTAATCCTATAATTGCACACCCTTTCCAAGTTCTGTCCATCCTATGTATTATTCTATAAACGACATTAATTTACTTTGCCACTTAATATTTAACCATGATTATAATCACAAGCATTTGAATTTGAATTGCGTTTCATACTACTACTATTATTATTATTTTATGCATTCACACATATGATTCAATTCCCTCACTGGATATAACTTCTTAAAAACCACGTATATATACGATTGTACAGCTTGATAATAAATTCGTTGAAAAGAGTCTCTTCGCTGAATCACTTTTTTGATTTTCTAAATGATTATTCTCCCAGCCCCCGCCCAAATGATGATGGTATGCAAGATTTATGCTCATTTTTCCATTTAGAAACAGACTACCAGACTTAAAATGTCATTTAGAAATCCAGGATGTGTAAAGTCTATTGGTATAATTCTAGCTGATACTTTAGATGTCGATAAACCTGACTGATTAGTCTTGGATTCATTTCAGCATTAAGTGGAATATATTCTACAGATGCAGAAAACATTAACAGGTCAAAATCACAGAGAGACCTAATTAACATTTGTACAAAATCCACTTTATTTGTCATGCAGCTAAATAGTTATGAATTTAAATACATTTTATTTAAAAAAAATGTAGGGGTGCCATTACATTTTAGATTGTTCACATTTCTAACCCTCTGTATTCCATTTTTTTTTGCCTTTCATTTTTTTTTACAACTAGCTACTGGAAATTTTATGTGTGTAGTGCCAACGCCTAAAGAATGCTTTAAATTATGCCAAGAAACTGGATGTACCGAATGGAATCATATGAATCTTGTTCCATCTGGTAGTGAAGAAGTTAAACGCTATCATAGATGTCGATGTTTTCCAGAATATAATATGTGTTTCTATAATTATGTCCCAAGAACTTATCGTGACTTTGATTAACAAATGAATGAATAAATGAATGAATGAACACTTTTCATATCTTTACTTTATTTCTTAATACTTCAGATGTTTATTCAATGAGATATAAAAAAACAAAAACAATAAAATATGTGTATATATTATCACTTATATTTATGTATGTGTGTAAATGTTTGTAAATTTTGCTCTTTTTGTTTTAATTGAATATTGACTACTATGTAGATTATTTGTTCACTGTTTAAAATTGTACAAAAATATGTTTTTGTTTTTGAAGTGTTGTTTTTCAGGGAGTTTTAAGGATTATTTTTATTCTGTTTCCTTTTTATGCAAGGTATATACTACGGATAAATGTAAAATATACTTTTTGAAAGATGATGAACTCAGAGCTTCTTTATACTTTACTAATTTATTTAAATGTTACAGTTTGAATGAGAATTTTCGAAGTTTACGCCTTGGTGGCTATTTTAAACAAACGTCAACAGATAAATTAAAAACAATAAAGTGATATAAGCATAAAACTTGGGCACTGTGGTGGTAGAGTATAACTCCATTGTGGATAAGATTTTATTTGATAAATCACACAGTGTTGTTATACAGTAATATTAACTGATGACGTTTCGAGCACAAACTATGGCCACTCATAATCATATCAAGACACTACTCACACAACGTTTTCCCTCATTTTTATAGTTTGTGCTCGAAACGTCATCAGTTAATATTACTGTATAACAACAGTGTGTGATTTATCAAAATAAAACCTTATCCATAATGGAGCAGCTTCTTTCTACTTTGCTGATTTATTTAAGTGTTATAGTTTGAGTGTAAAATTTTAGCGGTTTACATCTTGGTGGATATTTTGATTAAGCGTCAAGAGATAAATTAAAAACAATAAAGTGATGTAATACCACGTAGATTCAAACTGCTAAGCTCAACTCACTTTGTAGCTTGCATATCTAATTGCTGACTGGAGTCTATTAGCGCGCTGGAGGTCACACACACACACACACGTACAATGTTTCTTTCCAATCTTCTGTCTCACTTCTAATCTAATGTTGGTCAAAGCCAGTGTTAGTTCTAAGAAAACAGCATACTTTTACCAAAATATTAGTGTTTATCTACAGTTGTCATGGCTATGTTGTAGTACAAGAGGCATTTTATGTTTTATATACTTATTTGTGATATGAATTAGGCTGCATTGTATGAATTGTAGGCGGGATTTATGGTCGAATGCTAGTCAAAGCTAATTGATCTGTATTGCACATTTTATGTTCACGACCTCATTACAGATTTGGTAACCTTCAGGTGGGCTGAGATGAATGAGTCAGAAGAAAACCCATTTAGTTATTATTGCCAAACTGTTCATTAGTTCATACTGTAACAACAGAAGACAAGGACCAGGAAGCGGTTCGTTTATTAAGGAAATCAACACACAATTTTAGATTTTCATGTACATATTATAGATCATTGTTAGCAGAAAAACGGTTTTCTGATTGGTTGTTTCTCACAGAAAGTTAACCATGCATCTCATTGTGACTGTTTCTTGAGTGTCTGATCATCTATATGTTAACTGCATCCGCCTACGCAAAGTCTTTGTTCTCATTTTTCTCACGACCAATATTGAGGACATAAACATTGACGTAAAATACTGTCTGCCGATTTTGGCTAGTAGCCAGCTCTCACCACAATACTAGTATCACAACATCTAGATGTAAGTTTTCGCCCTGGATAAATTTAAATATCAGTATGGGCCAATTTGATGTATGTTGGGGAATGTCTAGCGAGTTCAATAACATTACAAGTATGTGAATAAACATCCGAGTTAATGAGATGATAATGTAACAGTATAGTATGAAAAAAAATACAGTAATGAGTTATATTTATTAAAAGGTTACTTATATACTTAGTTAGAGACCAGGGTTACAAATTATTAATATAATCCACAGAAGCGTTCACTGCTGGAGTCGTGTCTACTGGTAGAAGCTATGTAACGGTTGTAGAATAGTCTTCGGATGTGGATAAGCGGTTCCTACAAAAATCCAAAGTATACAACACGGTTATGAGTGAAGCAAGTAGACAGTATAGATCAGTAAGAAAACTAAACGACTAACACTACACTGTCTTTTAGATTGTACTCGGAAGTTATCTATATTCCAGCATGAATCGTTTTAAACAAAAGTCATGTACAATGTCTCTAATTTCAACATGTTACAAAAAAGTGTACAATCATATTGTTACGTACTCCACATGTATTCACTGAGTTTCCTTAGTGGAAAAGGTACCTGAAACTATTGATTCTTCGAATATCCCATCACAGTTATGTTAAAGTAAATAAAGTGTAGTGACTGCGAACGCGCGCACAGCAGTGGGTGATTTCATAAAGATGTCTCACTTATCTCAAAATTAAGTTAATTTTGAATTCCTGGTGGAACGAAGGAATTTACTTAAATCGTTGCAGTTTACTTGTATAAAGCAAGTAGTATAAATTGTACAGAAAAATAATTGCACTTGTTGTGTTCCAGGTAGACTATTTGAACCGTTATTTCAAGAAATTGTAGACATTGAGATATGAAGAATTTAGTTGGTGGTTCTATCAGAAAAGCTCTTCTTTGTGACAGGCATATTAGTAACATCACAGAGATCTGCAACTAGCATCTTCGTATGAACAATTACTTATAAAAACCTAGAAGAATGCAAGGTCACATGAGTTTTGTAAATAGAAAAGTTTTGCCACTCACTGTACAGAAAATGAAATTGTTCTGGAGACTGAATATGTAGTCAGAGTATGACTGAAATGAGGAAAATTCCTAAGCGAAATAAAATTCCTCTTATGCAGTCCTTTTTCCCTAGTAGGAAGAATGGATGTGACTCAATTTGAAAACTACTCAGTGACCTTTATCCTACAGCTTTTTTTCAACCGACTGTCACCACAACTTTCGAGGAATAAACACTTGTTAACGACTTCCCGAAACATATTTGGTGACTCTGAAGTAGCAGAGCAAATTCTAATTACTGTAAGGAGACATCTATTTCCTCAGTGCGAATAATTGACTTTTGCTCTTAAGTTGGAATGCTAAGCGTTTCAGAAGAATGTATACAAAACCTTTATTTCTTTGTCAGCGATAAATGGAAAAAGATGTCCCACTCTGGTGTGGTGAGAGCAGGCTGCTAGCCGATTGGTTCGCACTAATCTACGTTAAGGTCTAGGTCACTAATATGGGCCGTGAACAAGCCTGAGTCAACAACCAATCACAGCAAAGTTAACGTGGCAAAACATGATTCGCAGAGAGAACTCTATTTGTCAAGGAATCCCGAAACAACCAATCAGAAGCCTGAGTTTGTCTACCTAAACAACCAATCAGATGACTGCGCTTGTCTATAATAATGTAGTTGAAAGATGTATAAATACGTGTTGATTTTCATAATAAAACGATCTGTTGCCTGGCCCTTGTCTTCTGTTGTTACACTGGTACTGCATATGTTAAATTAGTGATGGACGCAGATACTCAATATCATTGTTGGAAAGGACTGGCCATCTTTTCGAGGTACCTCCAAGCGCACTTGTGGCTAAATGGACGTATGGAGCATGTTGGTAGAAAGTGACTGTATTTCTTTTAAAGCTGGAAACATCAAGTTTTTATTTAAGCAATAAGTGACTGGATACTTTTATGAAAACAATTTTAGTTCTCGTCTTAATCAGGCATATTATTACATTTAGTTGATTGTATGAAACAGACAAAAGGAAGAATTTTTCCTCATATCAGGTTGGTAGTCATTAATGGGTCTAGGTAGTTTCACTTATTGATACTAAGTAAACTCAATGTAGCTCACCCTGACACTAGGTTTGCAATGGATCACTAATGCCAAAACCATTTCAACTTTCCGGATCTTAGCATAGGATGTAGAAGTGATGCGACCACTGAAAAAGAAACTATCCATTAGAAAGAAACGTGGACTGGTCAGTACCTCAGGTATCACAGTTTTGCCTGATTGGTTACAAACAAGGTTTAGTCAAAATTTTGTTCATCAGAGTCAGCAGGTTATGTTGAGAAAGTCAGATTAATGTAGGGCCTATGGTTATTGGAAAGAATGTAACAGAGTATGGATATCATATGAAATATAGAAGAGAAGAAAGGCCTAGATTGAACTCCGTGGTATTGGGGAAGGAACCAGTTTTCATGTGCTTCAAGTAAAAGGGGATGAAAAGTGAACAAGGATACACGAGGAATTTAAGGTGCATTAAAGAGAACATATACTGCCATTAGATTCATTATGCTTCCCAACGCTAAATGCCGTTTAATTTAGTCTTAAGTGGATAACTGACTTGCTCATGTCAACTCCAGTTGCATTTAACAATTTACATGGGCATAAGGTAGCAACTACATATGAAGGACTGAGAGGAGAGCTGTTACTAGATTTCCTGAGCACATCCCTAACAACCTTTGTATGAAAAGCAAGGAAATGTTTGCAATTACAATCGATAAACACCTGAGTAACACCTGATATAAAATCGAAACCAGTCAAGCCTTCACAATAATCAGTATTTAAAGCAGAAGCCATTGATATTAAATTGTTTTAATTTAACTCTGTATACAGAAAGATGGCGTAACTAATGTATTACTAGCCTAGTAACTAGATGCTTCTATTTTGTTTCTGTTTTTTGTTGCGCAATAATTATTTTTGGTTGTCATCTGATGAGGTAAATACATTAATAATCTTCCACTCTAATTAAATTTTGTTTACATAGTAACCTTACTTAACTTACTGTTTGTATCCACTCCCACTGTCTTGTCAGTGAATTAGTTTTGTTTACTTACAGGATTCCATCATGAGTTGACATCACTTAGAGAACCATGGGAAAACTACCCGTCAGCCCTTTTTGGGATCTTCATCAGTACGCACCCACCACCAGCATTAGATACCAGGACCTCCCGGCTACAAGGAAAGCTAGCTCGTAGACATTTAAGCCTAATAGGACCCGATTCAATGACCAGTCCATGAATTCCAACTTCTGCCAATTCACA